GGGGGGAGAGGGGGGTTGGAGTGAGTGGACCAAAATTTTCGTCACTCCCTTCCACGAGGAAAAAGCGGTCCCTCCTATACATTAATATTAGGGGAAAAAAATATGCCGTCCGGAGTGAGACGGTCCGCTGGGCGGCAATTTAGGTGTTGCGTTTTCGGCCCACTATCATGTGTATTGTGGTTTTAGGATCTTACCGGTCGTTACAAATAACAACTACACCAGAGATAGACGATCCTCCTTAAAACTAATAATAAAATAGGCCAGGGGGTCGGCAAACTACGGCCCTCGGGCCACATCCAGCCCGCGGCTTCGGTTTATCCGACCCGTGGAGCCTATAGAATTTTTTAATTTTTTTAGGAATTTGCGTATGTGAATAAAATGCATCGAAAAACAAAATGGGATGGTAGTTTGAATCGGGTATAAAAAATCCATTGCTAGCTTCCATTTGGACTGTACAAAATTGAAGAGTATCACAACAGATGGCAGGAACAACGTGTGCGATGTAGGGAGAGGTTTAGGTGGGAACATTGACAAGGCTGTTGACAGTTTGAATGTTACAAGCATATATCTGGTTTTATCTTGTGTCATGGAACCTGTTGTTTCAACTGTGAACTTTATTCTCTCTTAGTTTGAAAGCAGACGTCTAAGATATATAAATTCCGCCTTTTTTTTCACCAATCAACTAGTAAATATTTAATCAAAATTAATATTCCACATTCCACACTCTCCCAGCATAAGATGTGTTAAAATGTAATTGAATTTTTAAAGACATCTTTTAAGAAAATATAACATAAAGGAATATTATTTAATTGATCAAACATTTGGACAATTCTTTTATAGCATTTTCATACACTGACTATCTCGTATTTACAAACACAGGGGCGTTATTCCAGGTTTTTTTCAGTGGGGGGGGGGGCAAAGCCAAATCTCTGTCAGCTTGTTAAGTTGTTTATTACTGGAGGCGCCACAGTACAGTACATAGCAATTTAAATAAAACCTGCAACAATTTAAGGGGGGGGGGGGAAAAACCAA